AGCTCGTTTGACACATGCGATCAGAAATTGTAACTTGCATACAGTCTAAGAAGCAACTGCCATCAGATGCAGCAGCAGTTGGAATCTTTATTGCAACCTCAATAGCAAAAGGAAATTTCATAAATTTTTATGTTTCATCTATGAGATCTTGCCGTTGCAATCTGGTGGCAAAGCTCCTCATGCTTTAATAGCAACATAAACAAGAACCAAACACCAAGCGCTAATCATGCCTTTTTCGGGTAAACCATGAAAATATATGAAAATCCTTCTTCAATTCAGCTCATGGCATTGTGGCATTTAAAACAGGCATTTAGGAACCGCTGGTATGTCACACTAGGACCAAGCCCAGTAGCGTGGAAAAACACTAGGGAGGTGAAATATTGCCCACATGCTTGGCCAAAATCCTAACCCTCCCAACGGCTTAGTCTCAAACACGATAAGCTCATCCACTTGACTGTCCATAGCTCACCTCCCTAAGACATGAGCGCTCCAAATTCGTGTGGAATTTGCCCAAAAACCGCTTTGTCCATTCTACGCACAACCAAAAACCTTTTCATCTTTTCAAGCCAACTGGTTCTTCGATCGTTTTTGAAGGATGAAAGCATTAGTTGGCTTTTCCACCGCCAGGGATTACACGGTACGATCGTCATGTGAAAAATTTCTACGCCGCTATCTTGAGCTATTGTTGTATCACATAGAATTACCCAAACCCACTACTTTGTACATACAGGGGGGGGGCAAAAAAAGAGTCACTTTGCCTATGGCGCATATCATCAAACTTTTCGTCGCAAAGGATGCCGCTGTTATTGGGAGTTATACGGCAAATTATTCCTTAGATGTCCCCCCATAAGCAGAATCAGGCCCACCTTCGCTGCTTCACCGTCTCCAGAATATGACGTCATCTGTCATCACCGTCGAGCTCAAGGAGGCGCCAAATACTCTTGCTGAAGCATGCAACATTTCTTCATATCGGAGGTAATGGAGAGTGGCTTCTTAGGGATCAGCTGTGACTATGAACATGGCTTTTACCAACGTTCTCAAGAGACGTATATCGTCATATGGTTATCGACGACGCCGTGAGGCGTACGCGCACGGTTTCCGTGGGAACTTCTGATTTCGTCGGTGTAGAAAGCCCATATGTAATATTTTTGATAGAATGGAATGTGATCTTCAATATGCAATGTAGCCCACTCGGTTGGATACTGAAAAAGGAGCATAATTGCTAATTTTGAATGGGGGGAGAGTGATCGTTTTGCCCTACCGAGATTTATTTGTACTTATATGATTTTGCGGTACAGATAGGTAGAAAGTTAGCAATGCTGTTATATAGTATTACTAATATCTAGCATATTCATTATACAATAAGTTCTATTATAAACAGCATGGCTACATTTAGCTGAGCACTTGCCTCTTTTTTCAGTTTATTAAACATATGATTCAAAGCCAACCGAACAATTGCAGTTGGGTGATCCATTCGTACAAAAACGACGGGGGTGATGACATAAAGGTCAGTTCGTTGAAAAAAAAAAAAAAAAAAAAAACAAAAAGGCAATCCATTGAATTATTTAATTGCACCGTTTAGGCCGTACCGTGAATCACTGGGCGGTACCTGAAGGTCACAGATCAGGCCGAGCCGAGTACTATAAATTGTGCTACCCTGAGAACCTCGCTCCTCTTCCCTTTCTGTTTTTCATGCTATTATTTCCTTATTCTGGCCTCCGTGATATGCGATTTTTGAGAATCATTCTTTTTCGTAGGCAAATTACCGTTTTCAGAATGAACACAGTCATTTTCGTGCTTGCCATGGCTGGCGCAGTACATTGCCATCCAACTGGCAAGGAAGGCTTCGGAAGAGTTCCTGACGCTCTCCGTGAAATGCTTCTGCCGCCATTCCTCAAGACTGTCTCCGGACAGGCTCGCATCGAGTATTTCGCCATAGTGATGAGCATGAATGACACTATCGCTCAACAGAAGCAGAACATCCTTGCTTGGGGGCAGAAGTACGGTATCGAGGTAAGTTCTGTAGGCCGACGCAGTGCGGCCATTTTTTTTGAAATCCTTGCAGAACGCAACACTCTAAGAAAGTGGTATTCGGGCTATTTTCTGTTGGGAGTACACAACCTATCTGTTCCTAATGGACCTAAGGCTCATAGAAATGAATGATAGGATGGTGCTTGTTTACCTTGGGACATACGAATGTAAGTATCTCTTGTGGTGATACCACAGGCATGACCTGAGGTGTGCAATCAAGCATGAAACCCACCTACTGTCCCTGGCGAGGTCCGCTCTTTCATCCGCCGAGCATGAGTAACTAAACTGGCCCTCCTACGGTCCAGCGGCGATACGGTATCTGAGGACCGCCCACATTTTCTGTATATAAACCCCATTGAATGCATTATTATTGTCGATTCTTACACTAACACGTCGTAATAAATATTACACGTCACTGGTTAAGTCTTCCGTTGACTAACTAGCCAAAGTGTCTAACCACAAGAAAAAATATTGAATAGAGGCTAGGTTTGGGGGAGCCTGTGCTTTCACCATGTCAATGGGCCAACTGATTCCCTTCGTTTTTCAGGCACAAGTAGAAGAATTCAACACCAACCTGACAAGCACTATAAAAGGAGTTAAGCAGAACGTGACCGAGCTGATAAACTCGTTGCCACCAACTCTACAACAATACACCTCATTGATAGAAAATGAAAACCAAACGCCGCCGCTGGAACTGAAGAAATCCACTGGAGACGCTTTGCCGGTCAAAATCAAAAGAGTTTTAGCAGCATTTAGTATTTCCTTGCTTAGTACTTGTACTTTATCGCTTTCTGTACCACTGAAAACTGACAAAAGAACGTTTTGCACGGTTTAGGCGTTCGGCTTGCTGATGATTGCTCTTGCTGAGCAATTTCAGCTACCCCCAAACGGCCCTACTTCACCCTACAGAATTCGAAGGACTTAAACTCGCGGAAGGATCACAAATATCGTACGGTACTAAAGGCTTTGGAGGTTCGTTGTATCACTGCTATCGCCTCTTTCTATAAAATCGACTGGACGAACTGTTTTTAGGGAATCCCATTCGACAAATCGTCTTTTCAAGGAACCGCTACCGGAGCCGGCTTTGGTGGATACAACATGCAATCGATAACTCCATACTAGAAACACTCGATGACATGATCTCGGGAAGAAATGCTTCCTGAACTTTGTTCGCATAGAATCCTTGATTGTTTTGCTTTTTGCTGTAAGATACATGACTGATAACAGCCACTTTTCTATGACCACATTATCGGTAATGGTAAGCTTTCACTTTATATGTCCTTTTCTAACGGACACTAGTTTTTTGGCGTTGGGCGGAAGTGGTGTAGTGACAAGTGGCGCGCTCACCACGCGAGCGGTCCGGGATCAAATCCTGGGTCGTGAGTCGCCCGGGCCAACCAAGCCTTCCATCCCTCCGGGGTCGGTTAATTGGTACCAGACTTGTCTGGGAGGATAAAAACACTGACTTGTACATCGGCTGGCCCCCGCGCATTGTATAGGCCACATCGCATTCAAACGCCACTACGAATGTACAAATGGAAGTAGAATGCGTGCCGCATCCCAAAAAGGGATTGATCAACGGCAAATGCTTTATCCTTTTTATATTTATGGCTTTAGTGATAATCTGCATCTGCGCAAAGTGAATCGCTTACGTACTGATTGTTCATGTTTTTCACGGTTTTTTAAAGGGGTTATTTGATACTATGGCCTTCAACGGTAGACGGTATCGGTCACGCATTGGACCTGCTCTCATTTGCCACACCTCGATCTGCCCCCCCCCCCCTCCCCCACATTCCTCCTACATGGGATGTCGAGATTATGGGCGGAAGTTAGATATTTCTCAGAAACTTGTCAAAATAAATACATATTTCGAAGCCTCACATCTTTCTTTAACATAGGTCAACATGAGACTTTGGGACAGAAGAATTCTACATTTGATCCCCATTTCTCATGATTTTCGGAGGCTGTGAAGTATGTAAGCTGTGAAAAATAAAATGTGCAACAATGGATGGTGGCAAGTGAAGAAGGCGGGAGCAGAAAGGCCAAACGAGCTGTGCCTTTATCAGAACTGAATCAATCACAAACTGATTGAAGGTATGAGTAGGAATCGAGTTAGTGTGTTAGGCTGATGTCAGACTTTGCGTATCCAGCGATTCGCCAGCGATGCGACCGTATTGCAGGAAATCTAGGCGTGTAAGCGGATCGAACTGTGTACGAGCGGATCGAACGATCTACCAGCTACTCAACACTGTTTGAAAGTGACGGGACCCAATATTCAAAGGAAGTCCCGCCGCTTTTAGACACTGAGTTCCTTTGAGAGGGAGTTTTCTTTAACACATTCACGACGACGCCCCTTTTCCACTTTTCGGTCGCGTGGGACGGACGCGATTTTGTGGGCGCCGCCGCCTCACCACATACTCAGATTTTGTACTGTAAATGAACAAAAACATGAATGTCACAAAATGATTTCAGCAATGTCCAATGCGTGTAAAGATTATCTAAACATATAACAGTAGTATTTCGATCAGAACGACAAATAGTGGTTACGAAAAGAGAGCATTTATTCACTTTCCCCGTGAAGGAATTTAAAAGCATTTTACACTCGATTACGAGGTTTGCCCACCTATCTGTCCATTCCTAGCGCCTGGCAAGCGATTATCAGTTGGCAGCCCATATGGGCTGCCATCGTCCCAGGAGCGCATGTTGTTGGCAGCCCATATGGGCGGCCATCGGCGTGAATGTGTGTAATATTGAGTCCCGCCACTTTCAAACAGTGTCGAGTTCGCCTGGACGCCTTGCTCGATCCGCTAATAACATCTCTCGAATCGCTGGCCACGCTCGATTCCTGAATGCAACGGCTGAGTCGCTAGCGAATCGTTGGATTGCGGCCAAAGTCTGGCATCGGCCTTATTTTGCTTGGTCCGCCGTGGTATGGTGGAAGAGACATAGCGCAGCGAGGAGAAGGAAACGCGATAGAGCTGCGTCGCACAGTCGCAAACACACTACGCTATGCCGCGATTGATGGATGGCAGCCGTAGCGTACGCTTAGGGCAAGACCTTGGCGCCGTTGCATCTTGAGGGGTTGACAAGGTCGCGCCTCTCCAATTGCGGACCATCGTTCTGCACTCTAAAAGACGGAAAACGACGGGCGCTGCAAGCAGGGTCAACCGTCACGTTCGAACATTTTCGGGATTTTTGCGACCCCCTAGCTCTCGAGGGGGTCCAGTTGCGACCCCCTGTTTTTGTTAATAAGAGTGCTAGACATGAATCCGTTGCGCCAGAAAGCGTCTGCGCCGCCGCCGCAGAAAGCGTCTGCATTGCGCGCGCAGGTTTCACCCGACACTGGAAGAACGGCTGACAGCCCTAGGAATCGCGACCCCCTTCCGACAAAAATGCGACCCCTTCGTTCGAGCAGTTCGAACGGACGGTGACCCTGCTCGCAAGGCCAGAGCAACCGTCTCCAGGGGACTATCCACACTGAAACGACTGAACAAGTTAGGTAATTCCCTCACTGAAGCAATTACTGAAGGCTACTTTAAACACGGGAGCGATGATTTCATATTTTCGGGGCTGTGGAGCAATGAAGAAGGGATGGCTTATACTTATGAAGGAACATCTCAATAATTTTTCGACGTAAACTTCTTCATCGGAGAGACCACGTGCAGTGAGAAGTATGCTGATGTCCAGGCTTTTTTAGCCTCATGTACTCGCTAATGATAAACCATTAATGATGACACTCCGTCAGAGAGCTGTGTGGGCTATCACAAATTCGGGAAACTCGAACACTTTGAAGAAGCGGTGTTCAGTCTACACTATCCATACTGTTAGGTGATGTAACTTCATTCTGGGCAAAGGTCGGGATTTCCGGTCAAAAGCTTTTGCCCGTGAAATATGCAGTGGTACGCAAGCGCAGAGCATGTGCAGAAGAGGTAGATGATTTGACAAGCTCATGGCGCGAAGAACCGAAGACGAAGCATTGATGCCGCCCCAACCAGTCAACCCTACGTTGGTACAAGTACCAACGGGGTCGTAGTTCGTTGAAGTTTGTGGTGGGGGTCGGTAGGACGAAATTACATGTGATGAGGTGAGAGCGCGCGGGAGAAAATTTGCCGTTTCAGCGTGGTCCCCCCCCCCCCGCTCGACGGTGTTTTTCGAGGGAAAAATGTTGTGAAGAAGGGGGTCGTATGAAACATTTCGTGAAGGAGGGGGTCGTAAAAATTTTGCAAAAAGTCCCAACGATAGGACCGACCCTGGCCCCAACCCGTTGAGCCCGCCCTCAGTTCTACGTGACCTTTCTCGACCACGTGGGAAAGCTTAACGTTGAACAGTTCATCGGGAGGTCTTAGCACAATAAATTTCGACTTCGAAAATCAACACTAAAGTCTATGTTACGACCACTACCGAGAACGTGTTCTTCATACGAAAAGATGAGATGAGAAACAGACAAGAAGTGCAGAAAAACAGAAAATATCAAGAAAACTTGCAGCAAGCAGTTTTCTGTACTGAGTTTTTTAGCCGTGCCGATTGATGGCATAGAGCCAGCAGTTGCTGAAAACACGTTCAGTTATGTCCTTCGCCCAGCCTTGGCTTGTATTTTGAGGTTCTTATATGTGTTTCCTGCTTTGCTCTTCACTTTCGACTTATTTAGCTTTCAGTACATCATATTTGAAGAGCTACCTCCCTCACCTTATCCCGGAGTTTGACGTTGAAGTTGAAAGCGCCTTATCAACGATAGCGGGAAAAACCTTGGCCTAATTATCATATCAATGATCGTGATAAAAGCAAGGTTACCAGCAGTGTTTTGAACGTTATCATTCTCTCCTAGCAATTCAAACACAATTCATTTTGGTCGAGGTAGTCGTAAAGCATTTAGCAAACTTACACCTACAGGGTGACCTATTAGCTTGAGTAAAAAGTAGAGTACAAATAGAGAATCGATATTTTTCCACACTTCTTTATTTTTTCATTCTCAAATTACTAGAGACATTTGACATTGCCGTCAGCCATGTACATATGTACAAAACAGGTGTTTCTAGGGATTTTCGAGGTAATTTCCTTACCCTTTACATTTGTTGCCACGAAGATTTGTAATGAAGTTTCGAGGGCTCGAAACTCGCTGCTATTCAGTGTCCAAACTGACAAAGACAGCCGATTGCTTACTGCATTTCGTGGCTTCTAGTAAAACCAGTTTAGCGCCGCACACCACACGGTAGGTTTTGATAAAACTTGGGAGATCAAATCCTTCGATTGACGCGGTTCTCAATTTGCTTTGTATATTCCTTTTTCTGAGTATCCTTTATTCGAACACTTGTGGCCTATGCAGCTAAGCCATCCATTACGTCAGCCGAATTCGTGTAAATGCAGCAGTGGTAGATGTAACGAACTGTGATAACTGTAGTGATTTTGATAACGCAGTAAGTCACCAGAGCTTGTTATTTCTATATAAACATTTTCCATTTTTAGGAAATTCACAGTTTAAT